GATTTACATGTACATGTAAACAGCACTGTTATAGACTACATGTATGTGTGCATAAAATGAGTGGGTAAACTGAGCAGATGAAGAACATACCAGGACCAACAGTCAAGTAATTAGACTTAATGACAGATGAGAAGACAGTACCTGGAGCACATTCTCCCACAGGTTCCAGCAGGGCGTGGCCCTCACAGTAATACCCAGGAGAACAGTCGATACAGTCTCCCTCCTGCTGCAGGCCTGTCGTGTTGCTGAAAGTGCCGTTGGGACAAAAGTTGGCGTACGGGTCGCTGGTCCCTTCTGGGCAGAAGTAGCCTGGTGGACACAGGCCTCCTGTCTCTTCATCCGTCTGAAAAATCAGCACAAGTCAGTCATGTTTATGAGTATGCCACACAGTGACATAGAGTTGTGGGTAATGCCCTGGTCACATACCTCATTGTATGATTTCTTAGACTAAGTGATTGGGCACTAAGTATCATTCATTCATTCATTGTACGATTGTTGTACAGTGTACCATCGCAAACTGAGGGCATTCTTGAGATAGACAACATGCAGTTTGTACAATCATGTCTTTGACATTGTAAACTAAGCATTCCAATAAATGTACACATGTATCATAATGCATTTATCTTGTAAGATTATATGGAAAAGGTACAGAAGCTTAAGTAAGGCAGCCATAGGCAATATATCATTATTCAGTAGGAAACATTCTTGATACTCAAACCATTTCATATTTTAAGTTACGATTAAGAGACCACACTTTTGTATTGAGATGTGGACTATGCTTGTGGTAACATGTACATAACAACTGATGTGTTAGGACTTACAGGAGTGGAGACATTTGCTCCCAGTGTACAGTAATGCCCAGCAGCACAGGGTCCCTGGGGAGAGGCCAGGCCATAGGCTGTGCAGTACTGACCAGGAGAACAGGGTTCACACTGGGGCTCCTCATATGCACCAGTCGCACTACGGAAAGTTCCCTGGAAAAATACAAAAGGGACACACAGAGTTCAGTTACACTACATCAGATGATACTGTATTTAATTGTGAAGCTTATGATATGGTTTTATTTCATGATAGGAGGGAAAGGGAGGTTTCATGGTGTTTTAAAATCCTTACCGGTGGACATGGTGTGGGTACAGCACTCCTTGGTGGACAATAGGACCCGGGAGGACAGATTAACTGGGCGACCAATCCTGTGCCATTACAGTAGTAACTCTGCAAGCAGTCATCACAACTGGCCTGGCCAGGGGACTACAGGGGAGACAAGAACAACAACATCAGAGAGGCAAATGTGTACAACGAGAAATCAGAGATTTCAAAGCTCTGGGAGAAAGCTCTGGGAGTTTTTGCACGTTTATTGGCACAACCTAAGAGATTGTCTGACATACTTTATCTAGGACAGAAACCTTGCAAGCTGAGAGTTTGATGTGACAAGCCATAAGTGTGTATGGTCTATCATGGCTCACTAAGAGTGATACATGTACACATGTATTCACAACGAAAAACATGTTCAAAGTTAAAAAATTTTCTCTAAATTAGATATCGTGTCTCACAAGTCCTTGCTGTTCTGGGCCTCATTAGAGTCAGGGATGCATGATTCAATCAAGCTATGTGTAACATATAGTATTTCAAGTTTTGCAAAAGCCCTTAGATTGTGGTAGCCTGACTTACAGTTTGGTATGTACCAACAGGGCAGGGTTTGGGGTTGTATGCTGCTGCCTCCGTGTAGCTGCCAGCTGGAGTCTCGAGCTGGTTGGGACTGGATGCTCCACCCGTACAGTAGTACCCAGGGTCACATGGTCCTGTAGGCTCTGGGTTGGTGTCTCCAGCACAGTAATATCTGGAAAACACCACATACTAGTACTGTCAGTTAGGATCTACCAGATGCTACCATTCTGCCATTATCTATTTTTGTTATAACTAATTCATGAAAATATTTTGTCCAAAACTTTTTTGTACAGCAACTGCAAAACCCTATCAAGTAGACAAGTATTACTAAGTTTATACCATTGTGTCAATGTCTTCCAATTGAAAATTTCTTGCTGCAGCCATTGAAATATTATCTGGTGCACAACTTGGATGGATCAAACTAAAAAGAGTTGAAGCAAACCATTGCTATTATTTCTTCCACGCTTCATTCAAAATAGGCCTGGTACCAGTCAATACACAAATAAAATCCACTTTAAACCCAGTGTATGTCTCAGTATATGTATGTACAGTACAGAACATTAGAACAGTTAGAATGTGTTCTCACCCGGGATCACACTGGACACAGTCCTCCGGCCCTGCTGCGCCTGAGGAGTTACTGTATGTTCCCTGTGGACATGACGTGGGGATGGCCGAGCCTATCGGACAGTACCCACCAGCTGGACATACCCCACCGGTCAGGTCATCTGGTGGAGCCTGTAGACAAAGATTCTCTGTTACTTCATATTCCAAGACTTCCAAGGCAAATATGCATCTTGTATTTCTAGTCTCTCACCAGTTTGTGGTTGAACTGTTTCAACCACAATCTTCAAACACTTCCAAGAAAACATGCATTTCAATGTGAAATGAGCGAAAATCTAGTGTCCCTAAACCAAAAAAAAATGCAACAACATCAATTCCAATGTCTGAATCTTGTATTTGAATCTTTGGAAGTGGCGCACGCAGTTAGGGCAAAATGCGTTTGAATTATTCTAAGGAAGCCATGGAAGCCATGGAAGCCCAGACCGTACAGTCCAGAACAACTTTATTGAAGGTTATCATGGCCCGAGAAAAATATCACCATTGGGAAAGTGACTGCATTTTACAGTACTACATACCGATGAGGAGGCCCTGGACCTGCAGTAGAACCCAGCGTCACACTGTCCGGCCGGCTGGGTCAGAGCCAGCCCGTCACAGTACCATCCTCCAGGACATGCCACGCAGTCTGAACTCACCCGCAGGCCTGTGGAGTTACTGTACGTTCCCAGGGGACATGGCTGGGCAAAGTTACTGCCAGTGGGACAGTAGTAACCCTATGGGAAACAATAGGTGTTACCAATGGGCAGCACAAAGGATTTATTTTGACTTATATCTGACTAGTAATATTCAATCTTTAGTGGGTAGCCCCTACCACAATTTGTTGATTTTCAAAGGGGACCAGAAACAGTCCATAACATAGGAAAAATTGGTACATATTAACATAACAGAAATCGAACCTACATACAGAAATTCACAGAAATGAAATCATAATAAGGATACAGAGATACAACATGATCATATACTGAATAACTTCAAAATTCTGAACCAATCAACAAATCAGTGACAGTGTTGTAGTCTAAAAACATAATAAATGCTCTGTTACCCGTAAATGGAAATACCAAGACCTGTCAATTACACATCAACAAGTAGCTTTCACTTTTTCTTAGACAAAAAAGCTAAATCAACTTGATGGAAATATGGGTCTAGCTTACTTCAGGACAGGTTTTTGGCCAGGCTAGCCCCTCCTCATCACAGTAGTACCCAGAGATACACAGGGTACAGCCCTGGAAGGACTCTCCTGCTGAAGCGTTCAGGTAGAAGCCCTGTGGGCAGGGGTTGGTGTACATCCAACCAGTACCCTCTGGGCAGAAATGTCCACCCGGACAGTCGTCAGCCTGCACGGCAAACATTTACATTGTATAACTGCAAAAACAACAATACCTCCACGCAAGTTAGACTACTGTAAGCAGCCTCTTCCCTTGACCCCATGTCAGGGAATGTCTGTCAGCAGCCAAGTTGATGAAGTGACTAATTCTACCACCTACCACAGTTACACCATTTCCTCTCCTCTTCATGTACATTGTAGGTTTTACATTGTATGGTTATAACAAGATTCTAATAGACTAAAGTATAATCTTTCAATGTACTGTACCCTTAGCCTGAAGAAACCTATACACAGAGAAAGCTTTGGGATCTGAATACCCAATGATTGCTATGGATAAACATCTCCGACATGACATCAACAATAGAATTCAAGACATTAACCCTACTTCTTTTCTTCTTTCTAAATCTATGTATATTCACAGAGTCATAAAATCCAGAATACTGACAGGAGCAGACAGTCCCCCTGGCCAGCAGTACTTCCCAGCAGGGCAGATCTGACACTCGTCCTCAGTCTGGAGACCAAGTTCATCGCTGTAGGTACCATTGGGACATGGTACAGGGTTGGGATCCTGTGCAGAAATGGTGCAAAAACATTTCAGATAGGATGTAAGCATGATGGCATGTCTAGTTTGAAGGAATTTTTCCACTGCTACATGTACAACATGTGTATAACCTTAGAGTGTTAGCATCTCATCTGATCCTGTCACATCTGTCATAGGTCATTGTACAATTTTGAT